TACACTCATATATTGCTGATGGGGCTGCAAATTTATGCAACCACTCTGAAGAGTAATATAGAGATTCTTCAGAAAACTAGGAATGGGACCACCAATTGACCTAGTTGTAGCACTCCTTAGTACATACTCAAAGGATTTAAAGTCAGCATGCTACAGTGACACAGCCACATCAATGTTTACAGCAGTTCAATTCACAATAGCTAAGCTATGGAACCAACCTAAGTGCCCTTTACCAGATGAATGGCTAAAGAAAATGTGACATATATATCACATTTGAATATTACTCAGCCATAAAGAAGAATGACTTTGAGACATTTGCCAGCAAATGGATGGATTGAGAGACTGTCATGCTAAATGAAGTAAGCCAGCCCCCAAAAGCAAAAGGCTGAATATTTTCTCTGATACGTGGAAGCTAACCCAAAATAAGGGGGGAGATGAGGGGAAGAATAGAAGTGCAGTAGATTAGACAACACAACGGTGAATGGAGGGAAGGGGAGGGGAGGATAAGGGGAGTAAAGACAATAGAATGAATCTGACATAACTTTCCCAAGTATACATATGAAATACAGTGAATCCCACTATCATATATATGGGATTCTACCTAGAATAAGATATATTCTGTGCTTGTGTAATTATATCAGAATGGATTCTGCTGTAATGTACAACTAAAAAGAACCCATAAATTTTTAAAAAACTGAAAAAAAAAAGGTGGAAGAATGCAGATCAGTGGTAGAGTACCCTTTGGTTCAATCTTCAGTATAAAAAAAAAATCAATTGCCAGAAGTATGTGGATTGATCTCACATGTCTTCATTCTGATTCATTGGTCTACATGTCTACTTTTACACCAGTGACATCTGTCTTATTTACTATCATTTTGTAGTATGTTTTAGGTCAGCTGTTGTAATGCCTCCAGCTTTATTATTTTTGCTCAGGATTACTTCAGCAATTCAGTGTCTTTGTGGTTCCATAAAAATTTTAGGAGTGTTTTTCCTATTTCTGTGAAAAATGTCATTGGTATTTTGATAAGAACTGCATTGACTCTGTAGTTCACTTTGTATAGTATGGAAACTTTAACAATATTAATTCTTCCAATTAATATTGGAATGTCTTATAATGGGATGTCTTTCCATTTGTATGTGTGTGTTCTCTTCCATTTCTTTCTTCATTGTTTTGTAGTTTTCATTGTAAAGATCTTATATTTCCTTGGAAAATTTATATTTTTAATATTAGAAATATTTTAAAATATTTAGGTAGCTATTTTGAATGGGATTGCTTATTTCTTTCTCAGAAATTTCTTTATTGATGTATATAAAAGCTGATTTTCATATACTGACTTTACATCTTTACATTTATAAGCTCTTTTAAATCTTTAGGTTTTTCTATACATAAAATCATTTTGGGGGGCTGGGGTTGGAGCTCAGTGGTGGAGTGTTTGCGTAGCATGTGTGAAGCACTGGGTTTGATCCTCAGAACCATATAAAAATAAATAAATAAAATGAAAAACAAAACAAAAAATAAAATAATTTTGTTTGCAAACAGATGGAATAATTTGACCTTCTTTCCTATTGGAATACCCTTTTTTTCTTTCTCTTATCTTACTTCTCTGGCTAAAACTTACAATAATAATTGAATAAGAATACTGGAAGTGGACAATTTTGTCTTTTTTTTCATGATATTAAAAGAAACAATACTAATTGAATAAGAATACCGGAAGTGGACAATTTTGTCTTTTTCATGATATTAAAAGAAACAATTTCATCCATTCAGTATAATGTAAGCTATGGGGTTTGTCATATGTAGTCCTTATTGTGTTGAGGTATCTTCCTCCTATACCTAATTTTTTTTTACCATGAAGGTATACTGAATTTTATCTAATATCTTTTCTGCATCTATTTAGTTGACTATGTGGTTTTTATCCTTCATTCTATTGATGCGATATATTTATTAGTTTACATATGTTGAACTGTTCTTGTACCCCTGAGATCAATCCTGTGTACAATCTTTTTGATGTACCATTGGATTCAGTTTGCTAGTATTTTGTTGAGAATTTTTTTGGTACCAGAGATTGACCTCAAGGGGACTTAACCACTGAGCAACATCTTCATCCCTTTTTTTAATATTTATTTATTTATTTTTGAGACAGGGTCTTGCTAAGTTGCTGAGGCTGGCTTTGAACTCATGATCCTCCTGCCTCAATCTTGCAAGTTGCTGGGACACATGTGTCACTGTGCCCTGCTTGTTGAGAATTTGTGCATATATGTTCGTCAGGAATATTGGTCTCTGGGTTTAATTTTTGTTTTGTTCTTGTCTAGCTTTGTTATCTGGTTAGTGATGGACTCAGAACAAAAGTATTCCTTCCCTTTTGATACTTTGTAATAGTTTGAGAAGAATTGACATTAGTTGCATATTATTCTCTTTTGGCCTTTAATAATTCAGTGCATAATCTATGAGTTATTCACTTCTGTTACTATAGTTTTCTAATTTAAAAAATTTTTATTGATTCAGTATATTCTTATAATCTATACTCTATATTCCATTTTATCAGTTATCTCCATAATGTCCTTTATAGAATTGTTTCCCTCTAGTTAAGAATCCTGTCCAAATTATATTTGATTTAATCTGTCCCTCCTCTTCAGTCTCTTTAAATCCTCAGCCTTTCATATTTCAAGATATTGGCATTTCATTCTGATGTCATGTATAACTAATTAGAGCAAAACAAAAAAGAAGAAGAAGACCAGGATGATCTTGCAGGCTCTGCCAGGAAACTGCCAAACTGTCATGATGCTGGGTGCTAAGCTTCTGGCTTGGGCCTCCTCCACTCTCTGGTGGGAAAGCACAAGCCAGAAGGGTCCCAGGCTTTAGGGCTAAGTCATCCATGTCATGGGGTCTAGAGGTGCCAGGAACCAGGATTCAGATAGGGAGGTGAGGACTGTGCTGTCAGTATATGCAAAAGCATGACATGGCCCACACACTTGCATCAGGATTTCCTAATCCTTGGGCTGCCATGCAAACCCTTCTCAAAGTCCCTCTGCCACAGGAAGGGGTGTTGTCAATCACGGGTCCCTGCTTGTCATCCTCCTGGCAGCAGCACTATGGCTCTCTCAGCCAGGAGTCACCCCACTGAGCCCCAGGGCTCTCCCACCCCATGTCCACTGGCAGTCAGCATACTCACTGCTGGGATTACTGGATTATATGTGTTTTCTAACTTCTATAAGAAACTGCCAAACTGATTCCAAATTGATTGTTCCATTATACAATTTCTAGAAATTGAAATTTCTAGAAACTTGAAATTGCCAGGGTTTTTTGTTTTTGTTTTCTAAGTTATGTAGTAGTATTCCATTATGATTTTAATTGTATTTTCCTAAAAATATTGACGTTGAACATCTTTTGATGTACATATTTGCCATCTATATGTCATATTCGTTCAAAAATTTTCCCCATTTTAAAAAAATATATTTTTAGTTGTAAAAAACAAAATATCTTTATTTATTTATTTTTACTTGGTGCTGAAGATCAAACCCAGTGCCTCACATATGCGAGGTAAGCGCTCAACCACTGAGGTACAACCCCAACAATTTTCCCCATTTTTATTGAATTATTTCTTACTGAGTTTTGAAAATTCTTTACATACTCTGGCCATAAGTCTTTTTATAAGATATATGAAAGAAAATATTTTGTACTGCTCTGTGGTTTGTCTTTTAATCACCTCTTTCAAGAATAGAAATACTAAATTTTAATAAAAGTCTAAAAATGATATAGCCATTTTTGAGAATATAAGGCAGTTAATGTATGCATAATAAACTATTCTTCAGTTTGGTTTTTCTTCTGATCAGATTCAGTTTATCATATCAAGAGACATGCAATATTTTTCCTTAATTACAATGTTTGACACTAATTAATGATTTTAATTTGAATACATAAGATAATGCCTTGCTATGTCTTTCCCATTTAAGTATGAATTCATGAATTTCTATTGTACTCAGCACATTATAATCCATTGCTCAGTATTTTAATGCCCAATTCTAATCAAAGTTATTCCTCAGTCTTTATGATATGTTTCCATATTGACTTTTTACTTTTAGTCCTTACTTACTGATAAATAGCTTCGTTTTTAATAGTTGAAAGAATATCCAGCTGGGTGCCATGGCACATGCCTGTAATCCCAGTGACTCAGGAGGCTGAGGCAGGAGGATCCCAAATTTGAGACCAGCACCAGGAACTTTGCAAGATTGTCAGTGTCTTAGCAAGATCCTGTCTCAAAATAAAAAATAAAAAGAACTGGGATGGGGCCAGGGTTGTGGCTCAGTGGTAAAGCACTTGCCTAGCATGCGTGAGACACTGGGTTCAATCCTTGGCACCACATAAAAAAATTAATTAAATATATTGTGTCCATCTACAACTAAAAACATATTTAAAAAAAAAAGAACTGGGATGTAGATCAGTGGTAATGTACCTCTGGGTTCAACCCACAAGTATTAAAAAAAAAAACAGAGAGAAAGAAATAGCATCCTTTATATCTAGGTATAATAATGCATTTAACTATTTCCTTAATCTTGGATTTTTTAATTTTAAGTTTTTTTAAAATGCTACCCATATTGAATGAACATTCGGGTAACTGAACATTGACACAAAAACAAAATTATATACTTGCCATAATATATTCCAAGTAGATTTGTTAAATTTCTCTCCAAAATATTTGTACTGATTTACAGTATATAAGAATGCCCGCTTTTTCATTCATTTAATTGGGTAGAATTTCAATCAGTCCAGGGCCATACTCTTGTTCCCAGACCAGCAATATCAGCATTATTCTGGGGAGCTTGTTAGAAATGCAAATAAATGTTAAAATTTATTACTCTTCCTGATTTGCATTCTTTGTAATAAACCTATAATCATAGGTGCAAAATGTATTACTATTATATAAGTGTATAGATCAATATAATATAGAAATTATATAAAAATGATTTCATTTTAAAAATACAAATAAATTTTTATGTAGGAGGAGCAAAGAAAAAAAGAAGCAGCACGTATAAAAGGTATGTTTTCCCCAACTGTTTCTTAGAAACAATCCTAACGTATAACAATTTACAACTTTAAGAATCAAGAGGCTATGCTTAATGTTAAGTATTTTAAATACCATGAAAATTGAAGAGAAATGCTAATTTATTAGTATGTGAATGGGCACATAAATTTTAGAAAAACAAGAATTGCAATGATCTTAAACTATGAAATTTTAAGTTGTGGTCTACTACTGGAGCCCAAAGATATCATAGTCAATGCCATGTACTCATGCTTGAGGATAAAAATAAATCAGAGAGGGAGAGAAACAGAGGAGAAAAAAAAAACTCAAAACACAAGTTTTGGGCTGGGATTGTGGCTCAGCGGTAGAACGCTCACCTAGCACACACGGGGCTTTGGGTTTGATCCTCAGCACCACATAAAAATAAATGAATGGAATAAAGGTATTGTGTCCAACTACAACTAAAAATATATATTTAAAAAAAACCACAAGTTTTTACAGCTCTAGGTATTGCAGGTTATGTCTTAGAACTTCAAACCATTGTCTCCTACATAATTTTAGAAATGTTAATATAAGGTAACGTACTTAAAACAACTTTAAAAATTAATATGTAAAGTATCAAAAGTTAACATAAAAATATAAAACATATAAAAATCATTTAAGATAGTATATGAGGGCTGGGGTTGTGGCTCAGTGGTAGAGCGCTTGCCTAGCATGTGTGAGGCACTGGGTTCGATTCTCAGCACCACATATGAGTAAATGAATAAAATAAAGGTCCATCAACAACTAAAAAAATATTTTAAAAAAAAGATAGTATATGATATTTTCTAAAACCTAACACTTTGAAATAGCCAATGTGCAACCTAAATAATTCAATGGCAAAAGAATTAAAGTAAGAAGTATGTAGATTGAAATCCATTTTGTATCTGATTTGTGATGGATCATCTTCTAAATCTCTTTTTCTTTGGTGAAGTGGTGCTAATAACTGCCTTGAAGAATTATTGAGAAAATAATTATATCAAAACACTTTGCAAATTGTAAAGCTCTGTAGTAATGTTATTACTGTTATTGATATAGGGCCAGCCCATAGGCCCTTTCCATTTTGTAATCTGCTTGCTCAGGAAGCTTATATTTTTAAAATAAGGCATAAATAGTTATAAGTCTTTAAGAATCTGTCCTCTTTAAGGAACTTTCCAAAACTGAGGTTTCTGTCCCACTTAGAATCTTTTCTGTAAAAACTGGTTGGTTTTATTTAGTATAGTCTTTTCTACTCTTAATTTTCATGAAAATATTGCTAATTCCCAATTACATATTAAACACTGTACAGATGATGATAGTAACTCAGAATGTTCTTGAAGAGAATTATCTTGTCCATTATAGCACTAAAAATAGTCTGAATTTTTAAAAAATGCCCTTATAAATTAAGATTTGGCTCATGAATATGTAATATTTATAATAAATATATTTTTTGCAGCAATTAAAGATCACTCTAAAAATGAATTCCGCTTTGCAACAAAGAAAATCATCAGTGATCCCCCAGAGACTAGCTCAGCAACAAATGGCAGCAGCATTCCATTAAGCTTATCAACATTACCATCTGAAGCTTATTACAGCCAAAGTATTGAAGCAGCCGAAGACTGGTATTCTGATGATTCTCTAGCAGAAAAGAATTCTTCAAAGCCTCTTCTCAGGGAACCTCTAATGGAAAAAGTATTTTCATACCTGTCAACAATTTCATTAGAAGAATGTACTGAAAATGTAATGAATATGGCACTCTATGATGATGAAAATGATGACAACAGTAAGGAAATGTTTTCACGAAGAAACACAGAGGTCGAAATACAAAACCTTCAACATAATGCTGAATGACTTTTTTCTTTTGAAACCTTGTATATACTGAAATCAGGTAAAATCAAAACTGAATTTCCAGCTTTTGAGTCTCTTAACATGTTCACATTAATATTGCTTTTCTTCTTAGTTATCATAGAGTGGTCCTACTTCTCCTGCTGATTCTTATTTCTAGAAAGAAAATTGTGGGAAGTACAGTAGTATCATGAACATTAAGTTTAACTCCCTGTATCTCATCAAAAGATACCACAAATATAGGAATGTGTTTTCAACACACAAGAGAAATACTTTAAGAAATCTTCAGCATGAATACATTTTTAATAAACACCCACAACATTTCTTTATAATTTGGACATTTTCAGGTTTATTTCAGTGTGACTAGGGCTGGGTGGAATACCTCTATCAGCTTCTCTGATTTTAAAATATAAAAATCACCTGTATTTCAAATAGTATCACGACATGCTTTTGGTAAGTGTTTTAGCCAGCTTTTTCATGGCTGCAACCAAAAGATCTGACAAGAACAATTTTAAAGAAAATTTTATGTGGGGTTCACAGTTTCAGAGGTTTCAGTCCTTAGATAGCTGACTCCATTGCTCTATGCCCAAGGTGAGGCAGAACACCCTGGTGGAAGGGTGTGGCAGAGGAAAGCAGCTTGGGACATGATAATCAGGAAGCAGAGAGAGCACTCTACAAAAATAAGGACAAAATATAAACCTCCAAAAGCATGCCCCCAATGACCCACCTCCTCCAGCCACATTCTACCTGCCTATAGTTACCACTTAGTTAATCCCCATCAGCAGATTAATACACTGATTGGGTTAAGCTTCTCATAACCCAATCATTTTACCTCTAAATTTTATTGAATTGTCTCACATATGAGCTTTTGGGAGACACCACTATCCAAACCACAGCAGTAAGCATTATAAATTTGCTTTTACAGGGAGGTCTGAAACACTGCATAGAATCAAGAAAATAGTTTTCTTTCCCATCTCCTATATTTCTTGAATATCCCCTCAGCCCTCACCCTACTATGATAGAAATAGTTCATAAGCAACTGACTCAAACTACATGAGTAAGAGTTCCTCTCTAGTTTGAGATACCTTTGATCAAATTTTTATTTATGGTTCTGAGGGATTTCTGACATCTGCCAATGTATTCTTTTCTTTTTCTATTTTTCCTAAACACTCACCATATAATTAACCACCTTTTAAAATTTCTCTTGGAAAATCTGATTAACAAAGAATAATATTACCATTTGTGTTTAAATAACTTATATCAAGAACGGTTCCTATAAGATAAGGTGAAGAGGAACAGATAATGCCTACACAGTGGGTGGCATTATTATAGGAAAAAATTCAGGGAACCGAATGTTTTATAAATGGACAGTAAAGTTGTACGTTCCTTTTTGCATCAGCAGGAGCCACAATCATTGTCTTCCCAGGTTATTTGCCATGTAAACATCTTCAAACGAATACTTTGGAACATAGAGAGTCTGTTTCTGCTTATAGACACACAGAATGAAAGAAGCAAACTTATAATTAACATTGCAATAGGGCATTACAATTCTTTTGATTACAAATCATATCTGATAGCTGGGCTTGATGGCTCATGTCTGTAATTCCAGCAGTTTGGGAGGATGAGCCAGGAGGATCATGAGTTCAAAGCCAGCCTCAGCAACTCAGCAAGACCCTGTCTCTAAATGGAACATAAAAAAGAGTTAGAGATGTGGCTCAGTGGTTAAGCATCCCTGAGTTCAATCCCCAGTACCAAAAAATATATAATAATAATAATAATAATAACAACAACAACACCTGAAACCCTAAACAGATTAGTTTGGTGGGGGGGGGAGAGTATTTTGTTTCATAAACAGAATTCAAATAATGGTTGAACAACCAGCACAAGGTTGAGCTGGGCATGGTCGTTAATCTCAGCAACTTGGTAGACTGAGGCAAGAGGATCACAAATGCAAGGTCACCTTCAGCAACTTAGCAAGACCATGTCTAAAAAAAATAAAAAGAACTTGGGATGTAGCTCAGTAATAAAGCATCCCTGGATTCAATCCCAAGTACTATAAGTAAGTAAAAAAAAAAAAAAATACTGAAAAAGGTGCAAGAACTTTCCATATTTGAATTAGTCAAGGTTCCATGAAAGAAGAACTACTATCAGTACAGGGTTCATTATAGGAATTAATATATCTTGCATAGATGTAGAAGGAGCCAGAATGAAAGTTAAGGAGAGAAACTGGAGAATCAGAGAAAGAGTCTCTGATCAGTTAATCTGAGAAGCCACTTTGTCCATTGCCACAACAAAATGGAGAAGAAAAGGATAGTAGGAATGTCTATGGGAACTGAGCCTCTAGGAATGTCTATGGGAAGCAACTGCCTTTGAAAGTGAACAGCAAGCATCTGGTGATGGGCCCCAGGCCTTTGTTTGCCAACAGGGTCAGCAACTGGGAAGAAGAACTTGCCACAGGAAAGAGGAGTAAGGAAAAGTTGGAACCCACAGAACTCTATACAGTCCCTTACAATATCTCAGCATGACAGCACTCACAAAGCAATGACTTCTCCTTAAATTATGCTTATAGATATTGTACAAAGTTCTCTTTGGACCATGTGGGGAAAATGATTATGGGAAACATGAGTCTAGTTTAACCAAGTTGACACAGTACAAACTACCACATTCCACCTGTCATCAATTGGGTATTCATTTATATTTTAGCCATATTTAAAACTTCCAAATAAACAATAGCAGAATGATATCCGCAAGATAGCAGAAGAGGAGATCTCTCTGTCATATCCCCCCACCTCCCCCAACCCTACCCCACGCTGGCTACAATAAATTTTCAATCCTACCTGGATAAAAATTACTCAGTGGGATTCAGGTAGGAGGTTGTGAAAACCTGGCACAGCCCAAGACCAAGGAGGGCAGTACTGCAACCAGGTGGCAGACTTGCCAATCATGGACCTGACACCAAATCTGGAAAGATAGCCCTTTTGGCTTTGGTCCTATTCTAGAACCATTTACTCAGAGACCTGGAAGAAGTCACACCCACTTATGCCTTAATGCTGAGAGCCACAGCCCAGTCGGAATGGCCCCTGGCATTTTGCCAGAAGTAATGGTTCAGAGGCAAGCCATTAAGATGATGCTGGATTGATTCAATGGTATATAGACCCCTTCTGTCCGCCTCAGGCGCCTGCTACTTTGGAGTTCTCCCAGGATTCCTGGGGAGTTCGCGTTAGTTGGGGAAGTTTCGGTTGGTGTGGTGTGCCGGGGAGGAGCCACGTGAGTGGCGTTTGGGAGAGTTCCTGGGGAGTGTGCGTGGAGTACTGTTGGAGTTCAGGCAATAAAGTTTCCTGTTTGAACATACAATGCTTTGTGGCGGCTGGGTGATTTGTGCCCAGCCAGACTGCGGCACCTTAAGATGACAACCTGCTAATGTTTATCCTGGCAGTGTACTTACAAATGACGCTGAAACTTCTGAAACTTGACTCTAGCCCTACTCAGCAGCAGTCAGAGCACAGTTCAATCAGTGTCATAGGATCTCAAAGAAAGAGATGCCCACTTGAATCACCAGGAAAGGCTTTATGACCTTAATTTCATAGCAAACACTGAAAAGCCTCTGAGACTTGGTTCCAGCCCCCCTCAGCAGTAGTCAGAAATTAGTTCCACTACCAGCTCAGGGACCCAGAGGGAGACGCACCTGCCTGAGTCCCTGTAGCAGGCTTACTGGCCTCAGTTCTAACTGTGGTCCCTGAAACAGGCCTGTGACTGACTTGGGTCCATCCCCTCTCAGCCATTGACCCAGGGCAATACTGTTTGTCTAGGAACCTACCCAGTGACCTCACAGGAGATTTTCCAGAGGAAGCCACACCTGGATGTACATCTAATAAAAGGCTCACTGTCTGAAGATCCTAATGCTGGCCTGTGTCCCAGCACCAGCCCTAAAGTCCTGGAGATAGCATAGTCTACTCATGGACCATACAGGATTCATTCTCATTAGAACCCCTGGTAACAGGGCTGCCAACTACAGACCCCACTACAGATGCAGCAGAGACTATGTAACCCAGCTCCAACTCCAACCCCATTCAGTTGTGGTACCAGAAGCAGTCCTTCAATCCTGAAACCTAACAGAGGAAATCTTTAATCTCCTGAAAGCAATCTGTAAAGACTGGAATTGGCTCTTCCTCCTTCACAAGTGCCAACATGGCCTACACAGACAATGAAGAATAGTAATTAAGCTCCAGAAACTGAACCCAAAGAAATGGAGATCTATGAATTGCCTAAAAGAGAATTAAGAACAGTCAGATCAGAGAACTCAGTGAGATGAAAGAAAATGTATAGATAATCAAGTGAAATTAGGGGAAAATGCACAAACAAAATAAAAAGGTAATAAAATAGAATCTGCCAGACACAATGGCACACACCCATACTCCTAATGATTCTGGAGGCTGAGGCAGGAGAATCACAAGTTTGAGGCCAGCCTCAGCAACTTAACAAGACCCTATCTCAAAGAATAAAACAAAAGGGGTCTGAGGATGTGACTCGGTGTTAGAGTGCTTGCCTAGCACACATGAGGCATTGAGTTTAATCCTCAGCACCACATAAAAACAAATAAAGGTATTTTGTCCATTTACAACTAAAAAAAATTTTTAATGAAATTTAAAAAATAAAAGGGCTGAGACATATATAGTTAAATGGTTTCAACCCCAAATGCCCCCTAAAATAGAATTCATTTAAAAAGAACCAAACACAAATTCTAGAGTTAAATAATATAATTAGATATCTGAAAATTCAGTAGAGAGTTTTGATAGCCAACTCAATCAAGCAGAAGACAAAATTAGCAAATTCAAAGACAAGTCATTCAAGCAAAGTGTGGTGATGCACACCTGTAATCCCAGCTATTCAGGAGGCCAAGTAAGGAGAATCACAAGCTTGAGAACAACTGAAACAATTTAGCAAGACCTAAAAAGGGCTGGGGATGTGGCTCAAGCGGTAGCGGGCTCGCCTGGCATGCGCGGGGC